GTTGTAGACTAGCTGTGTTTAAGTTAGTCGGGTGGTTAGTTAATAACCACGTGAGGCATATTGTACTGCCTTGTGAGGTGTATTGTGTACATAAACCTTGTGTGATTTATATACCTTATTGATTTTTATTGCAATAAATCAAATACTTGATTATTGTCCTTGGAAATCCTGTGTCACTGTGAGGTTTATTTAGGTTTCCCTGTGTTTTATTACTGTATTACCAGATAAATCCAGTCTTTCCTAATTGGTGGTAAACTTCCACCCAACGAACTGCCCCTAGGCTTAGTCCGCCGTTCGTTAACTGATATCCCCCTTGTGTCAGGGTAGCCGCTCATCCTTGCTCAAGGTTAATAAATTTATTTGTGGGGTTGGGCCAGGTCAATTCCATCCCTGATCCGGGCGGTTACTGGGTCCACCACAAGAGGTGTCAGTTGCATTCGTCGTACGTATGAAGCCAAATCGCGATGGTTGTGTTTGTATTGCGCATACCGAATGTGCATTAGACTTGCGTTGCAGCCGTTCATCGTTATATCAACAGTAAAAACACCATCAATTTGTGTGAATTGCAGACGTAGTCAAGCGGTTACGGCATAATGGTTTGTGATGCATGGGGTGTGGGTTCGGAATTGTGGGCAGGGAGGTTTTTTTTTAAGGAAAATAAAGCCCGAATGTTATTGGAGCCTAATTTCACAAGTGAAGTTTTTATGGTTGGCTGAGCATCTAGATGTCATGCATTGTGCATGGTTGAGAACCGTGGTTTGGCTTCATACGTGTGATTGCATATATAGCTCCTGTTCGAGCACCCAACCGCTACACAACAAGTCATTATTTTTGTGTGGAAACTCACTTTACAAACAAGTAAGGGCGGAATTGTTGACAGTAAGTCAATGTACAGTGCAGGGTCCAGTCCACTAATTCAAGCCCCATTGAAAACAGTGTAAAATCAGCACTCTTCAGGGCCCAATAGCATGCACGCCGACATCCCTGAGATTTCTGAAACACAAATTAAATTCTTGTCTGGTCACTTATCTTTCAATTTCTTTTCAGTTTTTTGAGGGTTAAACAATCACATTTTTAATTATTCCCACAAAACAAAATCACCCCCCAAAAAGTGAATTTTCCGAAGGCTGATTGCAGCCATTTTTCAAGCGGCAACCCTCAACTTTCTCGGGCACTTAGGACCATTTTTCAACCGTAGCTTTTAGCCCTCCTGCTCTCATATGAAAGCTCAAAGACCCGGGGAGTTGATCCCGCAACGATTTACACAATCTCATCATTTTGGGGGCCAAACAATCTCCTTGTTCAAAAGATACTGTCGGGGCACTTTTAATGCTAATGAGCTGGCCAGAAATTCTCACTTGAATTAGTGGTCTGCACCCTGCATTGTTGATGTGTCTGTGGAAACGTTAAATAAATAGTGACATATGAGGGGGGCGATCACCAAGATGGCGGGATCAAAATCACGTTGGTGATCTGTGACGTATGCGCACAAGGTCTTGTAGCGGCTAGATCTACGTCTAGACAACTGGTCTAGACAGTCTAGCGGCGTAGCGGCGCAAGATGGGTAATTCGACCATAACGGCCATAGGCGCCATTCGAGTGTGAACGTTCATGTCTGTGTACGTGCCTGTCGTGGCGCCTGCGCCCGCGCATCAACATGCACTGCGCAGTCGTAGTCCAACCAGAATGGCGCCCATGTGATAACAACGTTTTACGCGTATTCATGGTGAAGTTCCCCATCTTGCGCCGCTACGCAGCGCTATACGATCTTGGGTCTAGACTAGACAGGATGGAGTGTCGTGGTCGTTGCACAGCTTCTCTAAGACACTTATGGACTCTTCAAACTCTCTTCTTAGCTATTTTCTCAAGTCGTCGAACATTCAATCGAAGCGAGTCGACTTCTTTAGGTGAGTTTTAGCCCCCTGCGTTCCCATGCTTCTGGATGTGGACCGAATTTTTCCCCAGGATTCGCTTAGCATCTCACCTTTTTGTCTGTTCAAAGTTAAGGGCGTACTTTCCCACCGTTGGCTTGTGAGCTCTCTGTCTTCCAGTGATCTTCTGATTTCACTGAGGTCCTTTTCTACGTTGGACAATTTCTGCTATGCCATTTCGGATGTTCCTTTGATGTTGTTGAATCAGTATATATCCCACCGCTGCCACCATTTGTAGCGTAGGCCGTTTTTCCATGGTGGATTCTTGCAACAGAGACAGTCAACCTCCACATCCAAGCAACACAACACTGGTCTATTTCTCTTTATTCAATTACAAAACAACTCAGGTTTCACGCCAAGCATTCCTGCCTTTCAACAACTACATGCAATTCTGGCTAGAGCATTCTGGACTACATGTAAATTTGTTGCTCGTACTCAGCGTGTTCCTCGTCAAACGCACTTAAACTTGCGCGCCTATGCAGTGAATGCGCACCAAAGGACTTACAATTTAATCTCAAACATGCCTTTTTTTTGGTTTCTGCTCAG